TTTTTTGATCGTTCCCGTGCATTTGAAAAGGAGTGGGTATTAGTGTACATGTGGATAGTGTATTCACCTAGTACCCACATTCACCCAAATCCACATCCACATTCAAACACACCTACATCTCCGCATCCTGACACATGCAGACACCCACCCACGGCATTTATATCGGCCACTTTATTTCAATGTATGCGTGAATCATTTGATTAACAACAGAATCGTAATATTTTAAAAAAAGTATAAATAGAATGCGTAATAACCAAACAAAATTTCATTTTTTTTATATACCACGACTAACTTTAGATTTAAAAATATAAGCAACAGCAACAACACCATTGTTTTACTTCGCATATACTAATATTTTCAACTTTTATGAATACGATTATTATCAATAACAAAGCATTAATTGAGACAATGAATTTCCTTTTTTTTCTATTCAAAATAATGATAACTGAATATATTTAGATCGTTCAGTTGAGACTCAGTCGAATACTAACAAGAAAATACCTATGACTTCAAATCAATGTAACAAATCAAACCGTCTTGAGGGTGGTGATGTGAGTATGGATTCATCTTTTCTTTATTCTCACCCACACTTTCATCCAAAAGCAAATCGGATATCTTTTTCAATGAGATAAATTATGTATGCAGATAATAATCATGTGATTAAAACAATATTTATTGTGTAATCCCGACATTAGAATACAAAAAATCATGATAAACAAAATCTTTCATGCATCAAATTGACCTGTATTCTTTATTAAACGAAATTATAAATACTAACTTCACTATACTGAACACCGTATGAACTTGCTCGCTTGGATGTGGCTAATAATCGAAAGCTGGTATAAGCAAGAGTATTATTAAAATTTTGCATTGCTACATAAGTCATTCTGCCCGGATCCACAGATGCATTAATACCAGTAGAACCTGAATATATTAGTTTCCAACTCGCTCCTAAAGATAATTGTGCACTTGCATTATTACTACCCTCAAGTGTTACTGTTATAGGATCTCTTTCAAAGTTGTCATTGGCTGTAGCAAACTGAATTCCTGTTGCAATTGAACGACCAATAAGAGGAGTAACATAAAAACCACTTTGGAGACCACTTGTAATCGAAGTATCACCAGCAGCATAATTTAAATACTTTGTGTTTATATCGTCATCAAAGGCGCTTGAGGGACTTTCATCTGACACCCAATTGCCTACATTGACACCGCTCGATGAACCAGCCGATGTGTTAAAAATACCAACAATAGTGTCATTTGGATTAATGATTTTCATGTATTGAGATGGGGGAATCATAGTAGTAGTTGTTGCTAGAGTAAGTAAGAAAAATTTTGTAGCCATCGAAAATTATTGAAGAACTACATTTGATAAACGTCAATCTAGTTCTTCTTATCTCTGTTGAAGTGATATTTAATTAATCGTTTTATTCTTGTTAGCTGTATTCGAGGATATTCGCTTATAGAATCTGACAGAAATGTTTGCTATGTATTAGTTGATAAACTATTCCAATAAAACTTTTCTCTGGTATTTATATATCTATCAGATTTTCTAACAAGTAATAGCAGCTACTGATTCTCAATATGTTCTAGATTAATAAAATCGTAATCATCATTTTCATTTGTGATATGTAGCAGAGAAATTGGATTTTGTCTATAAATTAACTGACAAAAGCTTACAAGAGGTGTTCTATAGAAGTATATAGGAAAATGATGTTTTTCATTCTAACATCGATCGACACAAGTGTATTGAAGAAATTTATCAATACTATTATATTGAATATTTAGACAAGTACTGGATTTTTAATTACCTTTGAGTGCATTTTGGGATAGCGGCTGCGTTATAAATATAAACGTCGAGTTGAAGCTATCCATTACTCTTCCTGATGATGAGTAGTTGACAAATAAAACGCATGTTTTATTATTTGTAAAGCATTTTTTTCTACCGTGCCCCAAGCATATGTAGGACTAAACTGCTTTACAAATGCATTCTGAGCAAGTATTCTTGTACTTGATAATAGTCGTGGTATCGTTTGAAACGTACATTGCATTATTAATAGAACCGATACGAGTTGTACAATTACAATTAATAATTATAATTGTCAGAAGAAGAAAGATGACTGATAGTATCATATTCTCTATTGAATTCAACGTAAGGAATTGCAAATAATCAGCTCGCTTTTAATAGAATGAAACAAAAAAAGTGCATCTATCATTATTGTTTTTCTTTTTTTTGTTGATTGTCTCCTGGAGAGACATTCAGTTTAAATTGCTCGTCATATTTGAGTAAAGTACACCTTAGTTCTCGTAACCCCAAAATACATCAGTCTATGTACTCATTGTCAACTAATACACTGAATAACTCTATAATTTCACTCTAAATATAAATCTTAATTGAAGTAATTCAAATGTCTTTTTTTACCATCGAAGAAAAGAAAAAGGCCTGTTAATGGATATTAGCAATTTAAAATTGATGAAATGTTTGCTTTGAGTTAAAATATAAAATATATATTCAAAACGTATCTCTTTATTTAAAAAACATGAAAGTATATTACGTACTACTAACAAAGGTTTAGCAGTTCATCGACTCGTGATTTGCTGAATAGAAAACTTGCAGTACATTTCTATAATTTCTCATTGTTAAGGTTTAGTGCATTTTTTCTGTCTGATGATTCTTCTTTTAATTATTCCCATTAAACAAATTAAATATGAACGTCGCCAGGTTTTCCTTAATATTATCAGAATTGAAATAGATTTAACGAAGAAAATATTCCTGAATATTTAAAATTGATCAATCAATTTGATTTCGAACGTTTTCAATTATTTAACGATATTCAAAATTCTATATTAGATGCTTCAACTAATCATAAATATGATCCGCAAGAGAACCTGTCACTGCTGATGAAGTCTTGATTGCACCTTTCAGTATATATCTATATTGCATTCAAATAATTCGTTCAACATCCTTTTCTATTTATCTAATCATATAATCACAAACGATAATCTATACACATTCTTGAATACATATTTTATATGTCTCATTCTGTTTTTTAAATGTCCACACGTATATTAAATGTAAAGTTATACTCTAGGCAGCGTTGTTATTTTTACTAAGTAATATAGATGAAGTGTGTTCGTTATATGCACATGTTTTATTGTTAAAATTTTGCAATGATAATTGTCATCAATGGTACTTAGAATATGACAATATCTGAGCATGTGAATGAGAATGAAGAGAGAAGATGAAATAGTGTTTTTTCAAAGTAGTCTCTTAAGGAGATCGTATTGCTCAAGTTTTTCAGAAAGTAATATTTGCAATAAAACATTAATTGAAATAGCAGTATATATGTTTTACTTGAGAGAGATTTAATTAAATTTAGCTGTTTGTTTGTGTAAATGATGTTTTCGTTATTTTAGCGTGGAACTCTACAAAACAGAAGAGTTTATTTTGTTTGTAAATCAATAACAGTTATTTCTTTTCACATTGTCTTTTTTGTACATAAAAACTAGGAACTATGTGGCGCGTCATGAACAATTTGTTGGTAATATATTCTCATTGAAATAAACAGAGAACGAAATAATAGAAAAAATATTTTGACTCGACCAATCCTGCCGCTCTGGAATACTCTTATCGCATATCCTGCGTTCTTTTACGTAAGTTATATATGCGATAAGTATAGATATTACTTGATCTTTACTATTGTACACAAACAACGTGGTTTTGTTGATGATATGAATATCAATCTTTTATTCACCTGTACTTTCACTCTCTCCAATTGTGGAACTTTGTCATCGTCAAACCTGTTTGTCTATGACAAAAAATTGTCTTCAAGATATTCTTATTATTCTATTAATAAACCATATTAAATGATATATTATTACAACATAATTTATTTAATTAATGTTGAATTTACGTATAGATAATTTAAATATCTGTTTGCATTTGTTTTCAAATCAAAATTTCTTCATTCATGCCTTTACGGTGTGATGATTTGCATTTAATATTTAAGAATGGCTAATTTAATAATTTAGAATCATTTGAATTAAAGAATGATGCATACGAACATACAATTGAAGGAAGTCTAGTTTATCTATGTGGATTTATCTAATACAACGATAAAAAAGTTTTCTTTAACGTTAAGTAGACGTCATTACTTTATATCGTTTCATAAAAAAAAGGGTTTTAATCAGTTTATCGGAAACACTTCTCTACTTCTTAAACGAAAATTTTCTGAGATTAAGGAGTGGGTATAGACATCGATGAATAATGAAGTCCCACACCCATCAAAGATAGGCACTCTTTCCACTGTTATATATCTTGAGATATGAACATGAACTTGAGAGTGTATAATTCTAAAATCTCTATTTATTGAAAGGACGTATACTCCTCTCTCCCAATGGTCGCAGTCTCTCGAATCAATTCTATTTTTGTTGATTGTAGTTTTAGTTTCTATGGGTTAAACTAACTTTGAAATGCATCTATAGGTTTATGAAGTCTTGATAACGTATCTGACGGTGTTCATAGAGCTATGTCGCACGCTAATCAACAATGAAAGAGTGACTATCACTAATTGTTATATTTTTATTCAAATTTGAATAGATCTATTTTAAAGAAAGACGCGTTCTTGTTGAACATCAATTCAAAGTAGCAATTAAATTCACTCTCTATGACGATTTCTGATGATATTACACTTTATTATATTTCTTCTTATCTTGTATTGTATTATTTATATATAAAGCATATATTAATAAACTCGCCCATTAAAGAGAATGAAAGGACAAGATAAACAGGGACAGATATTGTTACACGCTCATTAAATTTATTAAAAATATCTCTACTTTGTTCGTGAGACTTAATTATTTTTCTTTCAAATTATTGTGACATGACTAAATCAAACAATTATATCCGACTCATTATTATTACTCTTTCATTTAAAAGTTTTGCATTCAACAAGAAAAAAAACATTTTTCACATATATCAAAGTTGTCCTCAAAGTAACATGTCTTCATCGGACGGTTTTCTTACATCGTTAGAATCAATACAGACAAATTTATTTCGAATTGGTGGTCCAATATTATTGGTACTTGGTATTGTCAGTTGTGTCATCAATCTGATGGTTTTCACTCAAAAAAATCTACGTAAAAGTCCATGTTCGATCTATTTGATAGCAGTAAATATCGCTAATTTCTTATATCTTACTATATCAGTATTATTGACTACATTAGCACTTGGCTATGGAATAGATCCTACTAAATCTAATCTCTTCACATGTCGTTTCTGTTATTACATATTATATTTATTTGATATTCTCAGTCCATTTTATGTTATCTTAGCTTCAATCGACCGGGTTTTAGTCACATCATCAAATGTTCGAGCACGGCAAAGAAGTACTCGTCATTTAGCTTATATTTGTATCGGTTGTGGAACATTATTTTGGATATTGTTTCATTGTCATACATTAATTCTAGTAGATATACAAGAAATAGCACCTGGTTATTTTATGTGTTACGCTCGAGCAGGACTATACACCCTTCTCATAGGTTATTATTCATTGTTCGTCACAGCAATTATAGTGCCTTTGTTAATGATTATTTTTGCCATATGGACTGCAAAAAAACATTCGAAAAGTGCGTCAACGACGCATTGCTCCTGTGCCACCGAACACTAGAAATACAGCGGCAAACTTTGTACATCTCTTTCACTCTAAAGATCGACAATTTGTTTTAATAGTAGCTGTGGATATTTTTATTTATATAGCATGTAATGCAATGCTGTTAGTTGTTATTATATATTACCAAATCGTGCAGAATAACGACTTCACACATATGAGCATCTTTCTGAATTTTGTAGGATCTTTTCTGTCTGATATTTCATTTTGTATTGGTTGTTATGCATATTTATTTATATCGAAAACATTTCGAAAAGAAGTGAAACGTTTATTTTTTGGTCAATAAGTTAGATGTTTTCTTTTTTTTTGTTGTTGTTAAGTCTGTATACTTCTTTGTTGTCTAAAATAAAAACGAAGTTATTCGTAAGATTATAACTGTCTTTACGTGCAAATGCTCCATGATTTGAAGTAATTAACATTTAAAAGATGAGATATCATGATGTAATGAATATTAACCAGTATTGATTCTCAAGTTGTGCCTGGATATTGTTATAGTGAAGGAATAAGTACTGAAACTTGTTCGTTTATTTATCGTTCTTCCGCATTGATGATATTTAGTACTGATATTTCAAATAAACTATATCCATGCTTTATCTTATCAATTCGATATCTTTGAAACATGAGAATATCAATATATTCAGTTAAAACTTATCTCGGGGTTTCAATTTCTCATGTCACATTTATTGCCTCCTCACGAACATATTCTAATTTATTTAGAATCTTTGAATATAACGTCTTTCGTATTCTGATTGATAAATCGAATTATCAATGAGTATCGAACATTGTCTTCGTTTTCCTCTGCAACGCGTACGACTGCAGTTAATTTTAGCTGTTTTATAACTAATTTCATTATTACCCACACCTTTTTTCAACTAAAATCAGGTAAATATTATGTATACATCTACTATATATTTCGTTTCAACGTTTGTTATTCATATCATATTATTATATATCAATAATTTTTTTTTCTTTTTTTCACCATTGTATGCAAACAACGCGCTTTTGTTCATGATATGAATATCAATCTTTTATGTACCTACACTTCGCTCTCTAATTTTTCAACACTGTCATCATCATGCCTGTTTTGTCGATAATAAAAAAAAAACTTATCTCGAATATATACTTATCAGTCTGTTAATAACCCATATTAAATTTAAGAAGAATAAAAAAAAGGCAATTATTAATATATTAAAATAATATTAAAATATCTTCATTAATTCCTTCAACTTGTGAGAATTTTTATTTAATAGTTTAGAATTATTTGAAAAGATCATCTTTTAAATTAAGACAATTTGAAACTATAGTTTTTTTTTATTCATTATTATGAAAAGCTGAGGGTATTGATTTGGATTCCTTTCTTTTTTATCTACACCAACGCCGTCAAAGAAGAAAAAAACTTGTCAGCGCAGCTGCCTGGGGGCTAAAATATACAATCATACATATTCATCGTGATTATTAACAAAAACAATCATCGTTCTTTTATCAGGATGTACGCGTAGACAGGTGTGATTTTGATGATTTGGATTGATTCATCATCCATGTAGTACCTATACCCACACTGCAAAACTTCAGTTTATAGTTCACACACACATTTTTATATGTAAATTTCACGGAAAAGATATCTATTGTTTTATAATCAATTAGAAATATTATATTTACAAGATATACTTATCTAATTGCATTTGTTTCTAATATTTTTGTATATATTTTGAGATACATAACTGAAAGAAAAAAATATCTTGTGGATTGAGACAAAAAGTATTCATCTCTTATCGAATACAAATAACTATTTTGAAACCGTCAAAATAAAATCTATCATAAGGAAAGCATGTTACTGCGCTTCTTTGTAACAAAAACCATTATTGATTCTAAAAAAAATTATTAACTTTTTATTTAAAACATAATTTTGTTGTTTGCCGTTCTTTCTTCATTGTTTTAATTAATTATAAGTCTCAAATTGAGCCATCTGTTATAATTATTTAATTGAAACTAAACTATGAAGTATAAATAAAAAAGGCAAATGATAAACTAATAAAACTTCTAACTCTCTTACAGTGTGACGATAATGAAATTATTCTCATCAGAAATATATAAATGTAAAACGCCTTGTATGTTCTTTTTCCTTTTTATCTTCCA